CACGATACATGATGTGACTAGATATGCATCAATAGCATACAGCTCTACATACAGCGTGGATTATGCGGCTAATCGTATAGCTCTCTCTTGTCCACTACCTTTGACAAGACCAGCCACGCAAGCTGTGCAGAACACAGATAAGCTTGGCTGCATCGAACGGCGAAGCCGAACACAACTTATCCTGAACGGTGACATCGGCTCACTGAAGCCGATCCATCCGGGATATTACGCCGTCTTGCAGACAGCTACGCAGTGCGTCGTTAAGACGTAACCACCGCCGTTTCGCTAACTCGCGGTCAACGAAATCCTGTCGAGAACGAGGTCAGGCTTAGCCAGTCGTAATCGTTACACAATTGTCAATCCTCCGTTGCCTGGTACCTTTGGAGCCTCAACAAGGATTGTGGACCGAAGCAGACTTTTCGCCCATTGTCAAAGCCAAGTACAGGTTTGACTATCTCAGCAACAATGCGTTGCTACCTTCAGAAGCAGCATACCAACAATACAAGAGGTGCGCACAAAGTCGATGGAGAAATCTGTACGATGAGGGAGTTTGGACGCACCTGGCCGTCGTAGGCTACTGAGCAGCATGCCGCCTCGCGCCCAGGAGCGATGCGGCAGACCCTTCGATAGGTGGTAATTGGGTAGCGCGCTCCAGCCGTCGTCAGAGCCCCCTTCCTGCTCTCCAGCTGCCATGGACGGCCGCATGGAGAGAGCAACTCGACGGGTCGTGGGGCGCAAAAGTGCTTTGCTTTGTCACGCCGTTGCACACCTTCTTCGCCCCACCGTTCAGAAAGGCTCGCAACACTCGCTCCGCCCCGGCTCATGACCGTGTCAATCTTCTTGTGGCTGTGGCCCATGTCGAGCGCCGCCGCCGAGAGACACTCCCAAAGCTCGAGGCTCTGCCAATGGTTGCACGCAACTCTCGAGTCTGGTCGCCGGCACGCGGGGTCGTTACAGACCAAAAGCCTCCTCGTCCCCGCTTCTCGCTGTTCAACCCGCTCTGCCCGCCTCTCGGCGAGGGCCCGCGTCGCCTCGCTCCCGCCTCCATCATTTGAGCGCTCGATCAGGGGCACGGATTGCTTCGAGAGCACCTCCAGAAGGTGTTGACACCGCTCTGGACCCGTGCAGTTGACGCCGCTGCAGTGCGCCTTCTCCCCCCAAAGCATGCAAACCACGGGCTTCTCTCCAGGGTTGCTCACAAGGATCACTCGGAGTTGCGGCCCCCCTCTCCACGCCTCCGCGTCAAGCCCAAAGAGTGTGCCTCCCAGGCACCCCCCTTGTTCTAGCGGCAAAACCCAAGGCACGCCGTTGGTGACCTCGAGCACAAAGGGGCGGCTGTCGTCAAAGGCCGTGAAGATGGCCTCTCCGTTTTGCCACCAGCCGCCCATGAGACGCGTCGCCTCCAGGAACCCCACATCGTGGTCCCGGCACGCCTTCTGGCCGCACAGGCACCGCAAGCTGCCCATGTGGTCGACCTTCACAAGTCGGGGGACGTTGACGAGCCCCCGATCCGTGGCAGCAATGTCCAAAAGGCGCCCACTGGAGGCGTCGAGCAGGGGAACAAGAAAAAGGCCGGGGGCAACGGCGATCGGAGGGATCTTGCTTCGCCTCAACTCAGAAAGGAGCGCCACCGTGCCAAGCTTTCGTGGGCTGGGCCCCTCTTCAAGCGCCCTCTTGACACCGCGCCTCACCGGAGCGGCCGCCTTGGGCTCACGACAGTACGGGCAGGGGGCAAGATCCCTCCTTTGCACGAAGAATTGGTGGCCGCCCTCGGTCGCCTCCTCCCCCGACCGTACTTCCCGAAGCTTCTGAGTACTAAGGAACACTTCGTACTTTGTGAAGAGCTCTTGCTGAGGAATGGAGCATCCGGTCGCGCTTGAAACAAAGGGGCTCCCCTCTTTGTACTGAGCCTCCACGCACCGTAAGCACAGGAGATGCCCCCCTCCGCCTCGGCAGATGAGTGCCCCACCCCGGTTCCGTTTCCGCTCCCAGATGAAGGGTTCACTCCCCCGAGCATAGACCGCCCCCTTTCCGCCGCACGTTTGCCCGATGCACGTCGACCCAAAGCCGCCCCGAGCAAAAGCCCCTGCAGGCCGCAAGCTGAAGGCGAGCCCGTAGTCAAACGCAAAGTCGGCAGCTCCCTGCTTTGCCGCATAGGAGGGGCGCCCCCCTCGCACACCCCCTGCATTTGGCAAGGGCGGGACGGCCGTCGGGACGCTCTTGACGTCGCTGAAGACTGGAGCAGGGCCTTTGAAGTGGACTGCCGCACAACTCCTGACGGCTTGACCGGCCTTCAAGGTCTCGTGCAGGGTCGCCGAGGCCGCAGGGGTGGTCGATGCAATGAGCACGACGCCGGAGGATTCTTTTTCGTCACGCGACGCCGTACCGAGATTCATCCTGGCATCGGAGAGAAAGCTTTGGGTTTGAGCCGACTTCGATGGCCTTAAGCCTCTTCGGCCCCCCTGGAATCCGCTCATCATGCCAGAACCAAAAGTTGCACGTCATGTGGCCCGGTGGCCGCCCCGACGCTGGTCCACACCTTGCAGATGGCTCCTAACCCGGTTTTCAATAAAACTACTTGCAACGTGTGGTCCACCAGGCTAGCCTACTGCTCGCCATATGCTTCTGGGTGGCCGGGATGGCCGGCCCGACTTACGAACGTGTTGGACCACACCTTGCATACGGCTCTTCCTAGCAAAGAGCGGAATTCCTAATAACTATTGACAACGTGTGGTCCAACCCCAAAATGCTTCGTCACATGCTTCTGAATGGCCCGGATGGCCGGTCTGACTTGCAAACGGGTTGGACCACACCTTGCATATGGCAAAGAGCAAGATTTCTAATAACTATTGACAACGTGTGGTCCACCAGGACCGAAAGTGCTTGCCATATGCTACAAAAGGGCCCGGATGGCCGGCCTGACTTACGAACGTGCTGGACCACACCTTGCATACGGCTCTTCCTAGCAAAGAGCGCAATTCCTAATAACTATTGACAATGTGTGGTCCACCAGGACCGAAACTCCTTGCCACATGCTTTTGAATGGCCGGGATGGTCGGCCTACTTCATGTGTCGCTGGACCACACCTTGTATAAAGCTGGGCCGCCTGGCAAAGAGCTAAATCTACACGAATCTTTAACGTCGTGTGGTTCAAAGGGACCGACCCAAGACTGCTTGCCATATGCTTCCGAT